AGTTGGATTTACTGTTATTTGCAACAACTGCATCTACTACACATTAGATAAAATTCCCATAGGGCTACGAAGTGTGATCAGAACCACAAATATAGTGGAAGTATTCTAATGAGACAGAAGTTGGTTTTTTCTTTCTTTTTAATCAAACTACTTGGCCACAAACTCCCAGCATTCTTCCACTCATGCCTCAAGTTTGGCTGAATGACTAGAAGTTGCGGACACAACTTAGGTAGAAGCCATCTACTGAAGGGCAGACAAAGGACAACACAAAACAAATGGAGAACTTCCAGAAAACATGAAACATGCAGTTGCTCTGTGTTTACCCTAACTAGAGGACAAGTGTCGGGAGAAACGCACTATGGCATTAGGAGTCCCAGCAATCTCTAAGGCAGTGGTTCTCAACCTCCCTAATGCCGTGACCCCTTAATACAGTTCTTCATGTTGTGGTGACCCCCAACCATAAAATTATTTTCGTTCACGACAACATGAGGAACTGTTTTAAAGGGTCGCAGCATTAGGAAGGTTGAGAACCACAGCCTAAGGCTTCCTAGGTGGTATTTTCCCACCAATGTCTACACAAAGTGATTCCATGTAGAACCTAAAACAAAATGTTATCAGCTGCAAAAGAAAAACATTTGGTAGAGAAACTTCTTTGTTCCAAACACCTAAAAGTACTTTCATAAACAATAAAGAAAAATAAAAGGTTTTAAACGATTGAAAACATTTTTTCCAAAAACTGAAACACATTGGAAACCTGGTACTGAATCAAGTTCCCAAGAGCAGAACAGCTGTGATCACAAAATAACTGCAAATAAGGAGAAAAACATATAAACAAAATGTCTAGTTTAATATCTAACCAATGAGCTCCTTCAAAAACTGTATTTCAGTGAAATCACCACCTTCATGAAAAAGAAAAAAAGGTCTATGAAGTAGATGAAACCCAAATAAAATACTAAAGGAGGGCCCCACTCATTCCCTCGCAATGAGGGAACTACAATCCTGATTTATAATTACCTTTCCCCTGCATCTGAACTTTATATAAACAGAATCACATAATCGTAGTCCAGCTTCTGTAACTCAAGGCTATGTTTCTGAGATTCACTCATACTGATTGCTAAGCATGGTAGTAACATATTCATTATCATGATAGCTATGCAATAATTTATGAATATACCAAAATACTTTCGTCTAATTTTACAAGTAGACAAGAAATCTGAGTTACTTCTAGCTTAGGATAACTTCTGATAGTTCTGCTATAAAAGTTCTTGTACAAGTCTTTTAGTAACATACACATTTCTATTTTTTATTTGCCTACTAGAATTGCTGAGTCATAACACATGCTTATAATTAACTAACACTAAATGTTTTTCCAAAGGGGTTATACCAATTGAAAATCCCAGAAACAGTGTACCAGGGTTTTAGATGATCCTTGTAGACATTTGACATTGTCTTTTTTTTTCATCTTTTATTAAATCATAACTTGTACATTGATGCATTTACAGGGTTCAGTGTGCTGATCTGATACAATGTAAGTTCAACATTGTCTTTTTAATCATTCTGGTGAACACAGCAAGACATCTTTTGCCTTTAATTTGCATTTCTCAGATGATTCATGGAGTTTTGAACATCTTTTCATGTTTACTGGACATTCTGGATATCTTCTCCGTGTGACACGCCTATTCAAAGTGTTTTACCCATTTTTCTTTATTCTAATCAATTTGTATAAGTTCTTAATACATTCTGGATACAAATCCTTTTGTAGACATATGTATTAAATTATCATATACTCTGTGATTTGTTTATCCATTCTCTTTATGGTTATCTTCTGAGGAACAGTCCTTATCTTTAGTGTTTTCCAATTTATAACTTTCCCTTTAGAGTTAGTGTTTATTATGTCTTACTTAAGGAAGCTCTGACTACCCTAAGATCATAGAGGTATTCTCCTACAAAATTTCTTTGAAAGGTTTCTTGTTTTTACCTGACAAGTTTAAATTTATAATCATACTAAATTAATGTTTTGTGTATGATGTAATTAAGAGTCAAAATACACAGTTATTAAAGTCACCCAATACAATTATTGAAAATACCATCCTTTCTCACCATATTACTAATTTCACCTTATTAAAAGCAATGCCTATTTGTTTATTCTTTTTTTTTTTTTTTTGAGACAGAGTTTCACTTTATCGCCCTTGGTAGAGTACTGTGGCATCACAGCTCACAGCAACCTCCA